CTATGGGTGGTTCCTGGAAACTAGAGTTCCCATTCAGTCTTTTGGCCCTTAGGTTTTAGTGTATACTGATTATTTGTTAAATTAACATTGAATTTCTTTTACATGGAAAGTGACTTGGGGAAAGAGATTCATAAGCTAGAAATTCACAGGAAAGAAACTTATTTCAATGGTGGCGGTGGTTGGTTAAGTTAGTGCTACTTAAAAGTTCAGTGTTAAGTTTATTAATGGATTGGAACAAAATTTATGTGTGTTGGGGGAAGAATGGGACACTGGGGAGGGTCTGTGGAGGGGCGTGACACTTCAGCTACCCTGCAAAGAATTGGGAGAATTCTACAGAGTAGGCCAACCAAAGATAGGCATTGGGTTGACTCCATCTGTTGAGAAGCATAAGGCAGTCCTTATTTTGCTGATTATAAAGCCAGGAAGAAATAGATTGACTTGTTTCCTAATCATGTATTATTTCTGCCCATTTACTGTGGAAGCACAGACAGCAGTGTATATGTTATGTGGTTTATCACATCATGGACTCATTGAAGATGATAGCTGGAATGTGCCAGGATGGAAGGTGTACCCAAAGCTGAGTACTTGGTAGCCCAGTGGGAGGATACGAAGAGGGCTGCAGTGAGCGGAAACTACAGTGGCATAGGACTGAAGGAGTCAGGTGGTAGAAGCCATTGCTGTAGAGTAGCCAGAGAGCTTAGCTTAGTAGTGACATGATGGTGGTAATGCCTGGAAGATGCCTGGGTGGCTGGGCAGATCATGTTGCCTTTAGGAACAGAACTGGAAGCTTGTCTACTCACCTCATCCATTTATAGTTCTTACTCTTCCTCCATGCCTTAACCCTAAGTGCATATAACTTGTACTTTTACAGCTCCCTTCCCCTTTGGAGATGAGGTCTCAGCCTCAAGCTGTATGTATCCCAGGATGCCCTGGAATTTTGGATGTAGCCCAGCCTAGCCTCAGATCGGCAGTAACCTTGAATGTTTTAGTTTCCTAAGTGTTGGGCTTACAGGTGTGAGCTACTGTGCCATCCCCCAACTTGCCCTGATTGTTTTGAGAGCCAGCCTTTTATGATATACTAGAATGTCTTCACTCTGCTCATATTTACTTATTTACAGAAATTCAGGGTAGATGTGAGTGTTGGGATGAACTGGACATATTAGGGACAAAACAATAGCTTCTTACTTAAATTTAAATGTCTTGTTCATTAATTTTATAGAGATGCTGCATTGTTTTTTTATTAGATTTCTTGGCAAACCTTTAAATATGCACCCTAAATTTTTCCATACTTATCTTACCCTTGTCCTGTCCCCTAGTGGATTTAAAGATCTCTGTATGACTAGACTTGAAGAGAAGCACGTGGGCAGTGAGAGGGCTGAGTTTTCTCCATTTGGGGAGGTAGGAGGACATAGGTTCAGTAGAGGAAAAGGAGGATGTTGACGGAGCATTCTGTAATGGGCTGCCATCAGTAGAGAATGTCTGATGTCAGTCTTCAGGGAAGCTGAGGAGGGAAGAGTAAAGATTGGAAGACCTAGGCCCCACTTTGGTGACTAAGTACACCACTGGTACCTGGGATTCCAGCACTGTGGGAGGCAGAGGCAAGAGACTTGAGTTCTGGGCAGACCTTAGCCTGTGCTGGTAGAGTGCTTCCTGGGAATGCAAGAGGCTCTGGGATGCCTTAGAGAGAGCAAGAGTTACTGAGGTATTCCCAGTTTAAATCCGGAAACTAAAGTAAAGCTGAGAAATGGGTGAGGACTAATGTGTAGGTCTGAAGGAGTTAGTAAGAGGGGGATTACTGTGATCTCGATAGGCAGAAGCAGGACAAGTGCATGTGAGTGCGCGTGTGGCGTGTGCACTGCAGAGGCCAGAGAAGACTATCAAGTATCTGGTTTTACTACCCTTTACCATAGTCCCTTGACGCAGGGTCTCTGACTAGACCTGCAGCTAGGCTGGCGGCCAGTAAGTCCCCGCAGTTCTCCCGTGTGCCTGCCTGACTAGGGTTACAGGCACACAAGCCACCATTCCTGGTTTTAAACAAGTTCTAGGATTTGAGCAGGTCCTCATGCTTATGCACCAAGCTCTCAGACCCACTCAGACATCTTTTAATATGTCCTGATATGTCCTGGCTGGATGTTACTGAGAGTTTTACATATTTTTTTTTAATTAAGAAAGTCTTTTTTAAAATATAAATTGTTGTCTAGTTTTTTGTTGTTTTATTTTATTTTTCTTTGAGACAGGGTCTCACTCTGTGGCCCTGGGTGGCTTGGACTTCATTCCAGTAGATAATTGAGACTTGTAATACTTGGATGTCTATATCTTGTATTTATTTATCTGCCCTTTGACATAACACAGCTATTTTTGTATTATACATGTGGGGTTTTGACTTGAAATTAACAACATCTGTAACTATCTTTACACAAGTATGACTATTCTGAACATTGCTACACATAGTTCCTGATATTACCACTTTCCTCTGAAATTATTGTGTATATGTATTTTTTAAATTCAAACTTGCTTGGATATGGGTATTTCAAGACAACCACTTTTTGAGTGTGGGTATAGTGTTGTCCCCCTGACATAGCCCAAGCTAGTTCTGAACTTACTTTGTAGGAAGGCTGACCTTGAATTCTTGGTCCTCCTGCCTCTACCTTTCAAGTCCTGGGATTATAGTGTGGTCCACCACTCTCAGCTCTTACGTTCACTTTTATATTTCCTAATTTACAGTCTCTCTCAAAGAAAATGCCCAAGAAAGAGAAAAAGTAAGAGAACAAAAATTTACTTTGAATTCTGTATATGTGTGAAGGAATGTGCAGGTGTGGATGCAGGCAGCCATAGGGTCCAGAAGACACAGGCTCCACTGGAGCTAGAGTTCCAGGTGATTGAGCTGCCTGGTGTGGGCTCTAAGAACCGAACTTGGGTCTACTGCAAGAACAAGAAGTCCTTCTAACCGCTGAGTCACCCTACGCCCTGCCTACTTTTTTGGCAGAAGGATAGAACCAGCTCCTTTAAAGTTGTCTTCTGATCTTCACATGCATATGCTGTGGTACTTGTATCCCCCGTGGCAGATAGGCATTCCTGCTCAAATACTTTTATTTATTTATTTATTTATTTATTTATTTATTTATTTATTTATTATTTTTTGGTTTTTCGAGACAGGGTTTCTCTGTGTATCCCTGGCTGTCCTGGAACTCACTTGGTAGACCAGGCTGGCCTCGAACTCAGAAATCCACCTGCCTCTGCCTCCCAAATGCTGGGATTAAAGGCATGCGCCACCACCGCCCGGCTTCAAATAAGTACTTTTTAAGAAATGTGATTTTCTACTACCTAGTATAAAAGCCTTGGGGTAGTCAACATTTTCCTCTTACGTCACATTCTCAATACTCAGGTTGCTTATAGTTGTCCTTGAATTATCTGAGGAGTCCTGTAGTAGTCTGCTGCCTGTCTATATATTGCTTGTAAACTGTTTGATACATGTTGGCAAGCAGATTGAAATACAACTCAGCGTCTCCTTCCCTCTCTCCTTTTCTCATGCATGCCATTTCATCAGCAGCTTTTGTGTGTGTGTGTTGTACATACCAGATTCTACTTTGTCCTAAGCGTTTGCCCTATCTAATGCTCTCTCTATATGGAGCTTTTTAGTTTCCTAGATTCAGTTCAGCTCAAATCTTGCTTTAAGAAACAGTTTTACATTATTTATCTATTTAGTGGATGGGTGTGTGTGTGTGTGTGGTGGTAGTGGTGGTGTTGGCGGTGGTGGTTAATATGTGCTAGGGCATGTGTGTGGGAGTTGGCTCTTTCCACCATATGGTCTTTGAGCATGAACTCAAAGCAAGCACTTTTGCCCACCTGCTGAGACACCTTGTGTGCCCCCATGCTCTTTATAATAAGCCTTCTTCCACTGGAAGACATTGCTTTTTATTACTTCTCGTCTTGGTTTTCTTGTACTGTGAAGAGACATCCTAGCATTTTTTATAGGAGAAAACATTTAATTGGGGCTGGTTCATGTTTCAGAGGTTTAGTTCTTTATGGTCATGATATGAAGCATGGCAGCATGCAGGCAGACATGGTGCAGGAGAGGAGCTGAGAGTTCTGCATCTGGATAGGCAGGCAGCAGGAGGACAGAATAAGCACCGAGCCTGGTTTGAGCTTCTGAAACCTCAAAGCCCACCCCTGGTGACACACTTCCTCTAAGAAAGGCCACACCTATTCCACAAGGCCACATATCCTGATTTCAAATAATGCCACACCCTGGGAGCCTGTAGGGGCCACTGTCATCGAGACCACCACACTGCTGTTACAGGGATGAGGCCAGCTTAAGATCTGCATACTGCTGATTCTCTCCCCTCTCTTTCCCTTCTTTTCCTGCCCCATCATTTCCCCTACCTCTTCCTTTTTTTAAAAAAAAGTTAGATCATTAAATGTATGGGTAGTTTTGTTCTCTTTCTAAGGGATGTAGTGGGAACAAATGTGAGCGTCTGTGTGGCTGGAAGATCACACTTTACTTTTGTACTTCTGTACTTCAATGTCAATTTTCTTAATTTTGCTCTATTTTTATCTTTTACTTTGTGTATAATTTATACTACTTTTATTCCAAAACATCAAAACGTGTATAATAAATCTGCAAAGTAAGGATGTTAGACTGGGAATGAGGAGCAAAGTCCAGCTCTATCCAGATACTAAGATTTCAGTCTCTTACTATGTAAATGAAGGTTTCAGGTGAGGGGGTCTCTTAATTCCTTCGAGGGTCTTAGTCTTTCCTACTCACATGTTCACTTGCTTCCAAGTGGGTAGCCCTGGCCCTTTTTCTGACTGAGAATAAAGCCAGACTCTGGTATTAGCCAGCTCTGCTGTCATGTTTTCTTTTAGATCCCAGTTTGAGACTAGTCATTTCTGCTCTACTTGAAAGGTCTAGTGTTGAATCCACAGTCGAAATCCACTAGTCATTGAAGAGCTTCACCTAACCTGGCTGGAATTTATTTGTTCATAATTTTATTTTTAAGGTATTTTCAAGAGAAATAATTCCAGATTGATGGATGAAATTTTAAAACAACAGCAGGAACTTTTGGGCCAAGATTGTTCCAAATACTCACCAGAGTTTGCAAATAGTAATGACAAAGACAGTCAAGGTAAGTTTTTGACTTGACCTGTTTTATCTTGCTTTGTTATTCTTTATTATCAGTAAGTTATCTTGCTAGAAGATAATGTTCAGAAAATGATAAAATAACAATTGACATTATATACGTGAATCCACATTAAAGACTTTATTTAATCAGGCAGATTTTACAGTCCTTGAGCAGAGAAGCCCAGGAATAGATAATTTGTATTAGTGAGTTAGTGAGTATATAAATTATGCAAACCCGGTTTTCCTATAGGGCAATATAAAAGAATGGTTGTAAGTAATACTTTTGCATTATTACCAGTTAGTCCTAACATTTGTAAAGTAGCTTCCAGAGTCAGAAAGGCATATGGAAGGAGGGAGCACACATACTCTACTGAAGCACAGTTTTTTTTTATGTTACTACTAAATTGACTCTGAGTATAGATAACATTTTTAGGTAAACAGAAATTGTAGGTAGCTCTTTTTATAGAGGGTTTCCTCACTATACAAAGTAACTTTTAGGATTTGGAGAATTAGGAGATGGTGTTTATAAAAATAAGCCCCATTTCTTGTAGACCTGTGTGCCTGGCTTCTTTCAGAGAAGAGTAGATCTATTAAGATACCAACACAGAAGGACTTGAGTGGTTCCTAGTTATCACAATTTCGTTTTTATTTTGGTCTGAACTTACGTCATAAACCTGATTTTGAAATAAATACAGAAGAGTGTTATAAATTTCATCTTGTCTGTTCTTTTCTCTAGTTTTAAATTGCCCTTCGGCAGTGAAGGTGCTGTCCCCAGAAGATGGAAAAGCGGATATTTTGAGAGCTGCCCAGGACTTTTGCCAGTTAGTAGCCCAGCAGCAGAGGAAGCCCACAGATCTGGATGTAGATCTGCTAGACAGCTTACTTAGTAAGTCTGAAATATTTTCCAGTTTGTCTCCCAAACACACAGATGATAGCGTATTTAAGTTCTTTTAATTCTGGACCAGAGCTAGCCAGGGCTACAGAGTGAGACACTGTCTTGGGATGGGGAGTCGGGAGGCTTTTATTGCTATAACCTGAAGCTATAATAAAAGAAAAGATTTACTTAGTTATTTTAATTTGGGTATGTGTGTGGGCAGGTGGGCAGTGGTCAGAAGGTAGCTTTCTGGAATTGTTTCTCTTCTTCCTCCACTGTGTGAATGTGAATTTAGCTCCCAGGCTGGGTGGAGCTCCCTTCCTCCATTTTGATGGCTCAAGGGAAGAGTTTTTGAGGATTTTTTAGAAAATGAGTATTCTTTTTTTTTTTTTGTTTGTTTGTTTGTTTGTTTGTTTGTTTGTTGAGACGTGGTTTCTCTGTGTAGCCCTGGCTGTCCTGGAACTCACTTTGTAGACCAGGCTGACCTTGAACTCAGAAATCCGCCTGCCTCTGCCAAGTTCTGGGATTAAAGGCATGCGCCACCACTGCACATCAAAAATGACTATTCTTGGAAATTGGGATTTCAGTGGGCCATGGCTGTTTTCTGTCCTCTTCCACTGCTTCTCCCTTGTTAGCTTAAACAATTTATTGTGAGGTGGTCTCCCCAGCACAGCCTGTTCATCTCTTCTTTTTGCATTCATTCAATTTGCAATACAAACCACTGTGTATGTTATACTTTGTTAAAATACAGCATTACATGTAAATGCCCATACATAAATATGTCTATACATCTCCCACCTCACCCCATACTGCTTATGATGTAGTCTTTGATGTGCTGTTTCTCACTGGAGTCCCTTTAGGAACCTTTTGCCCTAACTCGGTGGTCCTGCTTCCTAGCATTATCTTTAATGGTTTAAAGAAAAAAAGAATCTTTCTAAAAATTAATGTCCATTGATGGCTTGTGATACCAAGACATTCACTTTCCTTCATACCACATACCTTACTTACTAACCATGCGTTTTCTGCCTCAATTACTTACTGAGTTCTTCTTTCTGGTCCTTTGCCCTCACTTGCTAACTACTTCTGTGGACTCACCTCTTGCTTTCTGTCATTGGTTAACTGTGTGGGCTCAGTGAGCTCGGTGAGCAGCAGACCATTGTAGAGCTGTTTCATCAGAGTTACTGAGATATTGACCATCCCTTGGACAGTTTGAAGCTTAATCAGAGAGGAATTTTAAATATGTCATATATGGTAGCCTAGGGTGGCCCCATACATGGCCTTCAGATAGCCCATGGGGAAGTATGTAGTGCAGAGCCTAGGAGCTTCAGGGTTTGTTAATTTACAATGAGAATGTATACAGATTTTTAGAAGTTATTTTTATCATATATATTATATATGTGTCTTATACAGACACACAGATAGCTAGCTAGCTAGCTAGATACTTTCTGGGCAGGGTTTCTCTGCTTAGCCCTGGCTGTCCTGGAACTGCCTCTGTAGACCAGGCTGGTCTCAAAGTCAGAGATCTGCCTCCCTCTTCTCTCTAGTGTTGGGACTAAAAGGTGTGTGTTGCCACTGCCCAGCTTTCTTTTATTTTTTTGAGATTAGTATTTCTCCCTCTCTTTTCTCCAAATCCTCTCATATTATCCCTCCACATTTTCTTTTAAATGTTCCCCCCTCCCCGCATCAATTTTCCCCTCCTCTCTCCCCACCCCTCTCTCCCTTCTCTCCCATCCTCCCTCCCCTAAATATAATCTGCTCAGTCTGTATAATGTTACGTATATGTATGGTTTTGGAACTGACCATTTGGTGTTGGATAACCAGTTAAAGACTATTTCTCCTGTTAGCATTCTTGGTTGCCTGTAGTTCTTTGTGTAGGGTTGAGGCCTTCTGGGCTGTTCTCGTGTGCACTTTAGCATGACTTTTGCTGTTGGCCCTGTTGGCTCATGTTGAGGCAGTTATATGGGTAACATTTTATGGGTGTAGTTTCTCAGATTACTAGGAGACACATTCTCACAACAGACACCCTGATTCTCTTGATCTTACAATCTTTTAAACTTAGTTAAATGATAGGCTATTTTACCAAACACTTTGAATCCACCATTCCCAAAGTCCTTTATGACTGTGTTCGCACTTCCTTTGGGTGCTCCCTCCCCCCACCAAAACAAACAAACAAACAAACAAAAAAACAGAGGACAACCATTGGTTTGCTTTTTGACTAAATTTTGTGTTTATTAGAAATTATATATAGTATGTAGATTTTCATATCCTGCCTAATATTGAGCATATATGTACTCAGCATAATTTTATTTTTTTAATGAATGTCTCAGTATAATACCAGGACTGGTCTGAAACCTGCCTTTCCCTCCTGAGTGCTGGGATTAAAGGCATGTGATGTGATACCCAGCAAGCATAATAATTCTGAGGTTTGCCTGTGTTTACTGTATTAGTAGTTCATTGCTCTAGATTCTTTCATTGAGTGTATTCTGGATATAGCTCATTTTATCCATTCACCAGTTGATAGACATTTTGTTTGTAGTTTTTGATAATTAATATTGCTGTGACCACCTGCATGCATGTCTTTGTGTGAGTGAGTATGTTTCCTTTTCTCTAAGGTAGATACCTAATAATGGAATTGTATTGTGTGGTGAATGAGTGTTTTCATCTGTTTCATATCCTTGTCAGCAAGGTAGACAGCTCCGCCTCCTCATATGCTGAAGTGTGTGATAGTGTTTAATTTTTTTCATGGGTAATGAATGCTGTCGAGTATCTTTTATGTGCTCATTTGCCACCTGTAGTTTATTTGGTAAAGTGATAGGCTTAAATATTTTGCCTATTTTTATTATATGCTAATTTATAGTGTGTGTGTGTGTGTGTGTGTGTGTGTGTAGCACAAGTGTAGAGACGAGAGTACACAACTTGTAGCAGCAGTTCTTTCTTTCCACCATCCCTGTATCAGTCTGAGGCTGTCAGTTGTGGCAGCAGGTACCTTTACTCTTAGTGTTGAGTCTTAGGATGATACCCTTTGATAAGTCTGCATGCACTTGTTAAAAAGGAGGATAAAATACAGGGTTTACAGATACCTCCTTGGCTTACTTTCTCCTTGTTAAAAGTGATTTCTTTAACGTGTTTAATTTTTATGAGCACAATTTTTTATTGTGTGGATGTAACACATACATTTGTTCTCATATATAACAGCTCTTTGCCTAACCCACAGTCTCAATTCTTTCTTCTGGTGTTTTCCTCTTTTACAAGTTTTTTAGGCTACATTTAGGTCCATTTTGACTTAGCTTTTGTAAAAGTAAAAGACATAGGTTTTCAGATTTTTTTTTACATCACTGTTGTCTGGCCCTCGTTTCTCTAAAGGCTGATTTAATGGAACACTGAAGACAATTTATAAGGTGTAGCTGGGAATTGATCTTTTGGGTTTTTAAGCTAAGATATGGCCATGGAATGAAAGGAGATTTTTTTTCTTCTTTTTTTCTTCTTCTTTGTTGCGTTTGTTGCGTTTGTTTTGTGGTTTTGTTTTTGTTTGTGTTTTTGTTTTTTTGAGATAGGGGTCTCACTATTTAGACCATGCTGGCGTCAGACTCAGAGATTTACCTGCCTCTGCTTCCTGAGTTCTCATTTGCCTTTCTTCTTCTTCTTCTTTTTTTTTTTTTTAAAGATTTATTTATTTATTTAAGCACAAGAGTGTAGGGACTCTGGGAATCCAGAAGAAGGTGTCAGATCCTCTAGAGCTGCTGTTGTAGGTGCTGAGAACTGAAATCTAGTCTTCCTGAAGAGCATTATGGGCTCTTAATCACTGAGCCACCTGTCCAGCTCAGAGATAGCTAATTCTTGACGAACTTTTTTTTTTTTTAAATTACTTAGTTCTGGGGCCAATATAAGCAGTTATGTGCCCAAAGCAATGTTTTTCCCAAGATGCTAAGACAAAAGGTTCTTGGGAGGGTGAGAATTGAGTTACTTCTAAGGTAATCAGTGTAGTTGGATGGACTTCTGAGAATTTGCACGCTTGAAGTGAACATAAGCTATGTCAGTATTTGTTTGCAGGGGGTGGGGCTGGAGATATTCAGATGAGGCTTCTGAAGAGAACAGGCAAGGAAACCTAAGAAGCCTATTCTGAGTTTAAATGGTACATGGTAATTTCATGTGTGTCTTTATTCCCAAGGTTCACATGGTTTCCCTGATCCTGACTTAGTGTTGAAGTTTGGTCCTGTGGACAGCACACTAGGCTTTCTTCCCTGGCAAATCAGATTGACTGAGATCATGTAAGTAACTGAAAGTATGTTGACTTTGCTCTCTCTGATCCTAGCACTATACTAGACCTAATGCCAATACCTCCTCCTTTAACTCAGGTGCTTAAGTATGAGTGACAAATTAAAGGCCTGTAGATGAATCAGACAGTAAAAAAAGCACATGGTTGCACAGATGTCTGGCATTGACACTAGTTATCTTAGGGGCTCCTGATTGAAGACTAAGTGCTGGAGTAGTTGTTCCACAGAAAAAGTAGAAATATACCCAGGCATGAGACTCCTAGACATTTTGTTTCCTAGTAACAGTGGGGAGCATAGTGAGTAGGAAGAGAAGCAGCAGAATGACTGGTGTGTAGGGATGTGGGGCGCTGGCTCTGTGGGAGAGTACTGTGAACGGAGTGAAGATGGCTGTGATAACAAGGAGTGGACTGGTAGTGGAAACAGCCTGAAGCATAGGTAGTACTGGAATGGTAATTTTGGAAGGCTTATTTGGTCACTGTGGCTAGAGCTGGCTGTAAAAAGCAAAGTGAGAAGACAGTTGAAGGGCTCTCCTGCGATTTTGGGACTAGTACAATGAAGGGAATGAGATTAGTCATGTAGAACAGGGTTTGCAGACTTCTAAAATAGCCAGAAAATGAGTATCTTAGACTTTTTAGGTCATGTATCTTCTCCTTAACCCACTAAATTTGCCTGATTCAGCAAGTGCAGATAAATCACAGACTGTTCATGAACAAGTATGACTGTTACTTATAAAATATACTGTTAAAGTTGGGAATGCCTATAATTCCTGTACTCAGAAGGCTGAGACAGGAGGAACAGGTCAAAGCTAGCCTAACCTACATAATTGAGTTCTAGACAAGACTGAAACCTTGTCTAACAAACAAAATAAGTAAACAACAAAGACAGACTGTTATTTGTTGACCCCTGTTTTAGAATAAAAAAAGAGAGATTTTTTTTTCCCCTCCATGACAGGGTTTCTCTGTGTAGCTTTGACTGTCCTGGATCTTGCTCTGTAGACCAGGCTGTCTTCAAACTCAAGAGATCTGCCTGTCTCTGCCTCGAGTGCTGGGATTAAAGGTGTATGCTCCCATGGCCAGCTAGAATAAAAGAGAGATTTTGTAAACTTAAATATATTCAGCTTCTACATTATGAATGGAAAAATACTAGAGATGATTTGCCCGTGAGAATTACTTACTGAATGTGACTACATCATAGCACTTTACTAATTGTAGTAAAACTTAGGAGAGGAAGTAAAATGATCTAGAAAGGGGAGATGCAGATGATCTCAAGGCTGTACACGTTTTAATGGAAGAACTTAGTAGAACACTCACATGCATAGAATTGGTGATGGGATTAGAAGGGTAAAAAAGAAAAGGACGCCTGCGCCCTAGAAGTGGTCGTCCTGGTCAAAACAGGACCTCTCCAAAGCGTCCTGTAAGAACTGCAGGTTTAAGAGTAGAAGAAAAGAAAGCGTGAAATGAAGAGGCCTGAGAGCACACTAGAGTGTGGGCGACTGTCCAGCTGCTGCAGCTGCTGCGCAGGGAAGCAGGCCACATGCACCTCGGCTCTCCAGGCCTGCTGATCTTCCTGAGAGGCCTGTGTCTGTTTGCTCTAAGGTTTGCCGACTCTTTTCAGGAATTTCTTAGGTCAGTTTCCAAGAAGTTAGCTGGAAAGTGGAGAAAAGCCTGTTAGGTCTTGAGTCTCAACTATGCATCTCAGTAATGTAGCTTGGGGAAATTGGAATAATCTATTATTATTATTATTACTGTTACTATTATTATTATTATTATTTATTGAGACAGGATCTCTCTAGTCTTGGCATTTTCTATGTAGACCAGTCTGGCCTTGAGCTCAACAAGAGATCTGTCTGCCTCCCAAGTACTAGAATTAAAGGTATGTACCAACACGCCTGGCTACTGTTACTTTTTAAATAGGCATTTTAATGTAGAATTGGGAATTTGAATAGCACAGGTGACAGACACCTATCACGCAACAGGTTGCCCATTGTACTTCTGTCTGTGCATTTCTCCTAGTGCTTGTATTTGCTTGAAGTTTGTCTGTATTTATATGGTGTTCAGAAGACTGAGACCATGACATCAAATAATCTGAGGGGTCAGAAGCTAAGAAGCCTCAGCAGCATCTGACACCAAGGGTAGTGGCACAGAGTAGACACACACTGGTAGACAGGGTAGTTGCTAAAATGTGGAAGACATGGGGATGTTGGAAGCCTCGTCCATGATTCATCCAGAGGTCATGAAGCAGATTTAAGGAACAATGCCATCAAATATCATTTGAATAGAGATAGTAAGGCAAGTTTGGCAGCAGACATTATTATTTTCATTCAATGTTGACAGATTAGAGGGAAAGATGGCCACTTTCAAAAGTCTTGGTATTTGGAGGATAGTAAAGAGCTGTAGTGGAAGAGAATCATAGGGTCAGGGGTCAGGCAGGAGGGTTTTTAATAGTAGGGTGCTGTGTGTGTGTAAAAGTGTGTGCGTCATGTGCCTGGAGCTCTGAATGTGGCTTTTGTAATCTGACCATGTGTTTGCCTCTTACAGTTTTGAGTTTCCAAATCTCATTCTGAAGCTGTACAAAATAGAGGCTTTTTCATACTGACTTCTGAAAATTATTTCATGTATTTAAAGTACCTAGAACCTTCTCATCCTGTGTTCACACAGCATTTCCCATGCTTGTCTTCACAGGATAAGTGTTCCTGCAGCAGTTGGTGGGGGTGGCTTACACAGTCACTTACTGGTTGCTCACTGTGTCTCTGTGTGGGAGTTGCACACAGCTCTGGCCAAGGCTTAACCTGGCTTCCACGAGCTGTTAAGAGTACTGGTTTTACCATGAACATGCAGAATTCTAGTGAATTTGAGTACATTGTTAATACACAGATTTCTAATTTTAACATTGGTTTTTGTGTTAAATACGTTGTGAATCTAACTCACTGTATATGAATTTTCTCTTGTAAGAAGAAGGGCAGATTACTTTTGCTTGAGCTGTCTTGCATCACACTTGACAAGATTAACCTATTCTGTGTAAAATTGACTTTTTTTTCTGCCCTTGACTTCCTCTTGACCCCCCAGCCCATATTATAGTGTGTTATCTAATCTTTCCCCTTATGTTCTCTTCGCAGCTCTTTGCCTTCTCACTTAAACATCAGCTATGAGGACTTTTTCTCCGCCCTTCGGCAGTATGCAGCTTGTGAACAGCGTCTGGGAAAGTAATGGTCCCCGGTTGCATAATTTGACTTCAGGCTTTTGGAGAAAAGGACCCAAGTGACCCTGATGTTTACAAAGTACCTATAAAACCCTGTACACACCTAGTTCATATTCTTCATAATTTATCAACAAACACAAAAAAGTGTCTTACTTGAGAGCGAATGAGTGTGTGTGTGTGTGTGTGTGCACGTGTGTATGGAAATAAATTTATAAATGGGGGCACATTGGAGAATGGAGTACATAGACTGGAGGTCAGGCAAGTAGCAACAGTGTGTGTCTTAGGAACTGAGATTTCAGGCATAGAGGCTTCAGTTCCTGCTACCTCCCTGTTTGTCTGGGGAGTAGAGGCTGTGAGTAGGACTGAGTTAGTGGTCTGTGGTGGGTGGAGATAATTTTTGTTCAGTCTTTTAGTGACCAAACTTTAATTTCTAAGAATAATATATTGACATACTAAGGGGAAGTGTTCTCATTTTGAGTGACATTCACAGGCACTGGATGTTCATGTTTGCTTACCTGCCGAGCAAAGGGAACGTCCATCCTCAGATTTCCGTCCGTTTCATTTCTTCATTAGAGTAAACAGTGTGACTTGAGAGGATTAGTCTGGTGTCTGTTCTGGGTTATAGAGATTATTTGAAAAAAAAAATCTTACAATATTTGATGTACAGAATATAAAATGTTTAAATATTGAATTAGGCACTCAAAAACCAACAAAGTGAATAAACAGTCATCTTAAAGATGGAAAACCTCTTAAAGTACAGTTTTGATTTCCTTCTTTGTGTGAAGAGTTGTGTGGAGAGCACCCAAAGCATTTAAAAATAAACATCGGAGAGAAGTTACCAAGGCAGCTCGTGTCCTCAGAAGTAACCTGTTCCTCTTGAGTGGCACCTGGGATTTTCTTCTCCCAGTAAATCTCAGTGACAACGTCTTGATGATTAAGGAGGATGGAAGCCTGGATTACCAAAGTCTGTAAGCGTAATTGAACTTGGTCTTCTGTGTTCCAGAAAACAGTACTGCTTCTGACAGAATTGAATTCTTGATAAATGGTTAATGTTTTTTTCTCACACTGCTAGTCTTTGGATGGAAACCATTCTTTATACTTGATGGACAGTTTTCAGAAAACTTTTATCAACAGGTGTACAAGAGTCGTGTACATTTAGAATAGAGCAGTTTAAATACTAGGCCTCAGAAATCTGAAAAAAGATAGCAAAGAAATGGGTTTGGAACATATGGTCTGGAATTGCTTGTCAGACTCTGAAGATGTGTTTCAGGTTTGGATTACAAACCCCATTTATGATTTTTAAATATACTTGAAATAAAACAATTAAAATGAATTTTGGTCCAGTGACATTACTTTGCACTTCAGGGTTTTGTTTTTTTTTGTACAAAATTTTAAAGACTTAATTTATTGCCAAAATTTTGTGTAAAGCTACAGTGTATCTAAAGGTTGTTAGAGAACTCCCCATTTCTGTTACCCTGTGCTGTGTGTGGTCTGTGTTCCTCTGGTTTTATTCCCTCTGAGGATAGGGAAGGGGCGGAGTGGTGTGTAATTTAAGGCAATTTAAGGCCTTTTATAAACACAGTAGGTATAAATGTCCTTTATAGACCTTCCGGGATATGCACAGCTTTAATGAATTAAATTTACTGGACTCAATTGAAATAAGAGGACTCAAGGTTTGTTATAATGAAGTTTGTCAAATTACCCTTTGGAATAGACCCAAAATCCTAGAGTTGAGTTTTTATACTTTCTTCCACACAACAAAACAAATCTGTAGCCTCTGACCCAAGACTTGTTGTGGCCTTAGGAACAATTGCTTAAGTAAGTCAGGTGTTTTGAATTTAAATATAGGCCTCCAGGATCTTCTCATATGAGGTCACTGCTAATGTAATCTCTACACTGCGAAAAGCACTCATCACTTTTCAGTTTCTTCCAAGATTATCCCAGGTTGGATATCATCAAAACTCTTTGTACTCCCAAAAAACTTCGTGTTCATGTGTATCAAAGAGTGTTTCCTTTAAACTGTTTCTCCTTGACACACTCCACAATGGCAAAGGCTCCAAGTCAAACCTACTCAGCAGATGACACGGGGCATATGAAGAAATGGAGGGATTAACTTCGTTCTAAAGTCTGATTGTTATTTCTCCTTAAAACTGAACAGTTATTGTTTGAAGTTGAAATGCTGATTATAATGTGAATAGCAAATTCTGGTATGTTGTGACTAAGGCTTAAGAATGCCTATTTCTGACAATAAAATGTTCCAATATTAATGAACAGTGCCAAATACACTGTGCATATCTATAATTTTCCATTTGAATGTATGTTAATTAGTTACTCCCTTCTATGTGATGGTCCCATGCTTAGAAGTCAGTGAAGTCATTGTGATGTTTGTTATGCTTGTAGATTTTGGCAACTTGTAAATAATGTGTATAGCAAGTTTTTATGATTAAGGAATCAAATTTATTGAATTTTATTATTGAAAGTTGAAATAAGATGTATGAACAAAAAAATCAATAAAAGAATATACTCTTTTCATGGACTGTAGTAGTATGTGAATGTTACATTTAGTTTGAACAGTTGGGGATTCTGAAGTATAAGGAGAAATGTGTGACCAGATAGCAACCCTGTCTTTAGATAGTATGCTCTTGATTGGAACACGTTTTCATTATCTGCTTAAACATTTCCAATCTTACGTTTGTTTTTTATTTAATACCAGAGTGAGATTCAGCTTTGTCTTCCTGGGATTCTCAGGTTCCACAGTATTTCAAGCTGAATTTTCACTGAACATAGGAATGTTAATTAAATTAAAAAACAAGGGCTGGTGAGATGGCTCAGTGGTTAAGAGCACTGACTGCTCTTCTAGAGGTCATGAGTTCAAATCCCAGCAACCACATGGTGGCTCACAACCATCCACAATGATATCTGATGCTCTCTTATGGGGTGTTTGAAGACAGCTACAGTGTACTTACATGTAATGAATAAATAAATAAATAAATAAATAAATAAATAAAACCTTTAAAAAAAAATAAAAAAACAAGTTTGTAGCTTTTTAAGAAGTACTTTAATTGAAAGATAAGAACTTTGATGTCTTCTGCAGTGTAGTGTTCCCTTTCTGAAGACCTCATTGTAAGACAGCTTTATATGCATAGAGCTCATCTATATCTAGGCCTCCCCAAAGGTGACAGTTTAACTCTTTATAGGAAGTGCCTTTAACAAATGTGACTGTAGGTGACTTCCTTGTGCAGTAGAGCATCTGACCCCTGAGAGTGACTGTAGGATGGTTTGAAGGAAAACCCAGGGCCAGTGTTAGCAGTTGCCCAAGATTCTAAGCAGTATCTGTAAAGTAATAAAATCTGCCAAGGAGAATGTGAAAAGAATTTGCTCAAGGCTTAACATTTTTGATACAGACTAATAAAATTTAAGAAACTAAAAGGATTCTGGGAACAAAAAGGAAGAGCCCTGGGTTACAGTTTTGGTGATGGTCCTCTCAGGATTCTTGTACTTTTATTTTAGAATGTGATATTATGTCAGGCTTAATAAAGATATTCTTTTAAGCTGTACACCTAGAATTTGAGTTTTTCTGTTTGGTATTTGGTTATTTTGTAGATATAAACAGTAATATCAGCTCATCAGCTACATGGAAAAAGGATAGTCCACATTCATTTTAATGAGTATTTAATTATTGTCTAAATTCCTTCTATCCTATAACATTTTAGGGACTAGAAATTAATTTTAGCATTAAATACAAAGGAGTGCAAAAAAGAAATGTGATCTCTGGTTCTTTTTAGCTGACCATTCCTTTAGAAATAGTGACAAGTTCCTGTTAGGAAGACAAACTCTGGAGTTTGGGGGACAAAGGGAAGAAGCTGTTGGAAGATGGACAATTGTCAGCTCAGGTCTAGAAGATGGGTGTAGTGGTTTGAATGAGAGTAGAATTGTGTTTGGTTGCTTGGCCCAGAAGAATGCCATTATTAGGAGGTGTGGCCTTGTTGGAGGAAGTGTGTCACTGTGGGGTCAGGCTTTGAGGTCTTAGATGCTCAAGCCAGGCCTTCGGATCAAGATGTAGAACTCTCAACTCCTCCAGCACCACGTCTGCCTGCACACTGCTTTATTTCCCACCATGACGATAATAGACTAAACTTCTGAAACCATAAACCAGCCCTAATTAAATGTTCTCCTTTATAGGAGTTGCTGTGGTCATGTCTCTTTACAGCAATAGAAACCCTAAGAAAATGGGTGTGTCAGCTCAATTCTGTGGATGATAGATAAGTGTCAGCTCAAGTTTATGGTCTGTCAAGGTGTATGTCCATTATGGTCGCTGTATTTCGGTAGCTATATCTTGGATGGGTTTGGTTGTAGGAGTCTGTTGTGAGTATTCCTTGTAGTACTAGTTAATCCTTCGGCTCTACAGGGTTGTGTTAAATTTATTCTATTTAGTGTGAAAGTGGAGGTTGGCAATAGTAACAGTGACCAAGTGTTTCTGTGATCAATTTCAGATCACTTGAAAGAAAATGGGACAACAAGAAAACTATCTATTTGGAGATGTTGGACGTAGGGTTTGTCCAGTGCTTTTGAATGTCAGTGGAGACATTTGTCAGTTGGTCAAGGAGGGCATGACTGTCTATTAGAAGACAACAGGCTAGGCATGCACAGGGCAGCCATCCTAACAGAATCATCCACCCTTAGGGTTTCATCATACCCTTCAGAATCTTCTAGTTACGATTTCTAGAGTTTTATCTTATTTTGTTTTCCTAGTTTGGGGAGAAGTAATACTGGATATTGCCCAAAGTCATCTATCGAGTGGTTTTGTTTATACTAAACTGTATTTTTTTTAAGTTGTTTAAAAAGATGAACCACACTTGGTAGTTAGGCCTATCTTTTCTAAATCTAAGTCTCTTCCTCTGTGGAAACAAAGGATTTCTTGTTAAAATGTATTGTTTCACATTTATGTCTATATATTTGTGTGTGCCACGCATCACACGTGGAAGTCAGAGGGCAACATTGAGAACATCCACCATGTGGATCCCAGGGATAGAACTCAAGTCCTTATGCTTGCTGGTAGTCGCCTTTGCGCACTGAGCCATCTTGCTGGCCCTGAATCTTTTCACCACTAATGACTTCTAATATGATCTGTTCCTTTTGTCAGGAACTTTGCCTCTTCTTATTTTCTGTCTGTTTCATCCTTACCCCAGCTACAAATGAGCTTGGGCTTTCAGTGTTTGTAGTTTCTTCAAGCTGTGGCTTGTCTTCTGTCACCCTTCACTGGTAAAACACCTCCAAAACTTCTTTTCTTACTGCCTCAAATTCTTGACCCCTTAACTCATCCCAGTATCACACAACATTCTCTAATTCAGTTCTGTGTGATTCAGTTAATTATGCAGCTGTTTATACAGGCTGCTTGTTGGCAGAATGCAGCAACACAGTAATTTGATATGTATGTACACTGGAATGGCTGATGGTCTCTCTCTCTTCTCTCTCTCTCTCTCTCTCTCTCTCTCTCTCTCTCTCTCTCTCTCTGTAACAGTAGTAGTATAGTAGTAGTACTAATAATAGTTTTCAAGAATATAACATTCCTATTAACTTCAGTCACCATGTCACACAATAGAGTTTATTCTTTGAAAAAATTTGAGTGGTGGTGGTGGTGGTATATGTGTATGTGTGTGTGTGTGTATAAGTAACATAACGCATGCCTGGTACCAAAGGAGGCCAGAAAAACGCATCAAAAGCCCCAGGACCGGAGTTACAGATGGTTGTGAGTTACCATATGGGTGCTGAGAATCCATAGGAGTCATTATGTTAAATGAAATAGGCACAAAACCACAAGTGTGGCATGATCTCGCTTCCATGTAGTATATATACACTAAGTTGAACTCAAAGACGTAGGAAATGGAGTTATGCTTAGCCACGTGCAGTGTCTTTCGCGTGGGCACATACAAAAAAAGACCTTGAGACAAGAAAATAGTACTGAATGACGCATTTATACCACATAGGCGGTTGGTGAATATGAACATTCAGGCTGTACTTCAGTGTACTTATTTTCTTTGATACAAGCCCAGTGATAGGATTGCTGGGTCCCTACATAATTCTTTTGCTTTCACCATGGTTCTAGTAGCTTGTTTTACCACCAACAGGCAAGGTTTTCATTTTCAGCTTATTTCGTTTTCTCATTCTTTTTCTCCCTTGCTCCCTCCTCCTTCCCTTCCCCTCCCTACTTCCCTCCCTGTCTCTGTCTTTGTCTCCCTGTCTCTGTCTCTCTGTATGTCTGTTCCCCCTCTCTTCCAAGTAATGTAGACATTTTAGCAATGTTAATCACTCCAGTCTGCAAACATGAAGTGTCTTCCCATCCCGTTTAGTTGTATCCTGTTTTATCCCTTTCATAAATGCTTTTGCAATTTTTAATGTACATATCTTTTATCATCTTGGTTGAACACGTTTTCAAGTATTTATTTCTTGTAGTTTTGTAGTGAGATTGTTTTCTAGATTTTCTTTTTTATAGCTAATTGTTGTATGGAAACACCACTAAATACTTTTCTTCTGACTTTTATGTATAAAGGACAGGGGCTTGCCTTGTTCAGGTATCAAGTGCTTTGTATTTGTTTAATTAATGAAAATATAAGGACTCTTTGAAATCTAATTTGCTAACTTACAACATTACCCTGGATGGTGCTAAAGCCAAATTATATATGCTTGTTATTTTTCATTTTGAGCCAGGGTCTCATGATGTATCCTGGACTGGCTGGCCATCCGTCCATCTCACAGAGATCTGATGGCCTGTGCCTCCCAGGTGCTGGGGTTAAAGGCATGAACACTGTCTATCTCTGTCAACTTCTTGTTCCATTTTACACTCCTCTGTGCCTGTGAGTTTTAAAATAATTCTTAAACACTTATTGGAATTTATTATTCACTTGCTTTCCTAAAAATTGGACTCCAAAGACCACTAGTATTGTCTTTAACTTGTTTGTGTTGTGGTTGAATTAAAAAGGTGTCTATTTTGTTTACACTTCCATATCATAGTTCACCATTGAAAGCTGTCAGGGCAGGAACTGAAGGTAGTGGCTGATGCAGAGGTCATAGAGGACTGTTGTTTATTAGACTGCTCCATTCTTCTGGCTTGGTCAGCCCATAGATCTCAGAACCACCAACCTGGGGTGGCAATGCCCGTGAAGGTCTGTGCCCTCCCATACCAACCCTGAGAAAATACTGTACAGGCTTGCCCACAGACTGTTCTGTGGAATCAGTTTCTCAACCGAAGTTCTCTGTCAGACGACTCTAGCTTGTATAGAGTTAACATAAAAACTACCCAGCATACTCACCTAACTCAAAATAGCATCACCATTTTCAAAAGACTGAGGAGATTGTTCTTCTGTAATTTTATTTTATTCTCTTGAGCCATTCTGCCTTTAAAAGTCTAAGTTTTATTAGAACTATACATGCCCTGGCCCGCAGATGTACCTTGTTGCTGGATTGTAATAAATTTCTCATTTCCAAAGCTGGCCTTTTCTACTTGTTATGTTCAGTATTAAATTAGTTCATTG